AGTCTGGGAAAGACTCATAAGATCTGTCCCTCAGGTGCTGACCTCCACTCTCCATCAGCAAACCCTCGACGATGAAGGCCTACAAACCATCTTCTGCGAGGTAGAGTCCATCCTCAATAACCGTCCTCTCTCCACCGCGTCCTCCGATCCAGACGACCTGGAACCACTGACTCCCAATCACATCCTCCTGCTAAAAACGCAACCTATCCTACCTCCGGGAACGTTTCAGAGATCTGACCTCTATGCCAGGCGCCGCTGGAAGCAGGTCCAGTACATGGCGGATCTGTTCTGGCATAGATGGACACAAGAATACTTTCTGCTGCTCCAAGAGAGACAGAAATGGAACACAGTGAGGAAAAACATTAGCGTTGTTGGAGATGTCGTCCTGGTAGTTGACCCAACTGCTCCACGGGGGTCGTGGCCATTAGGCAGAGTACTGGAGACCAAGCCTGATGCAAGAGGTCTGACCCGTACTGTGAAGCTCCAGACAAAAACCTCCGTCATTGATAGGCCCATAGCTAAGCTGTGCCGCCTCCTGGAGAAGGAAGAATAATAGGTCTTCTTTCAACATCAATAAGGGATGCAATGTATATACTTTATTTTTCTAAATTCATTATTTGTTGGTCATTTTACGGCTCCCTTTATTTTTTGGCTTATTTGAGTCATTGATTCTGAGAGAACAATTAGGGGCCGATGTGTAGGAGCCGCATTTAAGTTTATTTTTGATTTATTTGGAACCTTTATTAATACATTTTTCTGTTTCAGTGAGAGGTGCGCTTTGCTCAGGTGAAGGGGGCGGGGCTAAAGCTTTAAGTTGGAGGTGCGGTGTGTGACGGAGGGCAGCAGGCAGCAGCAATACCGTCATTGACACGCAGACGCAGCCTTATGTTTAAGACGGATTATTAGGATCTGCTGTTTAAGTTTACGTTAAATATTGATTTCGTATTTTGTTTTGTTTTTGCTGGAAATAAACGTTGAAAGAGAAACCAACACGTCCAGTGGATCTTGTACTGCAAGTCTGACACTGCTTCCCAGCCCCAAGCTCTACATGTGGCCAAGAAAAGGAACCTTTGCAATATAGGAGTTACAAGACAAACTTTGGGATTTTGGCCACTACACACTGAATATATATTGGACGATATTTTTGACACAATAAGCCACAAATTCGTTAAAGTCATTAAATCCTTTGTATTTGGGAATAACTTTATATAAAGGTTGCAACAGCTCAGTTAAGTTGGCACATGGTACAACTCCTAGATGTTATATTGGGTGGGATAAGACAATGATGTTCACTGAGCCCGTTCATATTTCTTCTTGTTTCACAAATTATGGCCACAAATATTGCAAAAAGTCAGTTTCAAGGTATAGTTACCATGGATAGAGCATTTCAATGATCTCAACTGGCTGATGATACGGCATTATTTGTATCCAATAGACATGAGGTTATCAAAGCAGTAAAATGTATTAATGAATTTTCTGACGTGTCAGGATTAAGAATGAATTTAAACAAATCTGCTCTATCACCACTTAAAGATGTGACCTTCCAGAAATGAATGGGGTACCGGTAAAAACCAGTCACATACCTGGGTGCTGTCATAGATCAAAATGAAACATTACGCAGTAACTTACATTTTAATCCTATCATTGAACAAATAACCAAAAGGTATAATATGTGGTTGATGAGGGATCTGTCCTTGAATGGATGAGTGCTGTTATCCAAAGCTGAGGACATTTCCAGATCGGTCTATGTTTCCTTATCACAAGAAGTGCATACTATAATATACAAACAATTAGATAAGATCCTATTTAATTTCATATGGAGGAATAAATGCCATTACTTAAAGGGGACCTATCATGCAAAGTGCACTTTTGTACGTCTTTTATACATGAATATGTGTCCCCGGTGTTCCAGGGAACTCACCAAGTGTCAGAAAACACAACCCTCTCTATTTTCCTCCATACCCAAATCTCTAAAAAAGGGGCTGCAACGGATCTGATAAAAACTGATCCAGATTTGAACACTGTCCTGACGTCAGGACGGTGGCGCTACGGCTATTGGGCCAACTCCACCAATCAGGAGGAGACAGCCATGGCCATTGCCGTTCGAAAGCGCTGGAGACGCTGTAGTACATATGCCAGGCCTGTAGATGGTGCTGTTTTCACAGAATCAGCCCTTGCAAAAACAGAGCTAACATTTTTCAAATTGAGCGAAATGAGGCATGGCTAAAATGCATGATGTTTGGTATTTTGAAAAAAAAAAAGTATAAATATGCCTTATATAGGTATGGTCCTACACTATATTATTATAATATAGCATGATAGGTCCACTTTAAGGAAAGATATCCTATGCAATAGTCAAATAAATGGTGGTTTAGAGGTGCTAAGCTTTGAAACCTTAAATAATACTTTCAAAGTGAAATGGTTAACCAACTTGATTAGAGAAAAAGCCAACATTTGGAATACCTTCCCTAAAATATATATTTAATTCAACAGGTGGGGTCACATTTCTACTTACATGTGATTATAATATTGAGAAATTGCCTTTACAATTATCAAACGTTCATAAGCTAGCCCTGCTGGCCTGGAAACTCATTTACAAACACAATCTTTCACCAACCAATGATTACATTTGGAACAACAGGAATATTCAATATAAAAGAAAACCTCTATATTATGAAAGATGGGTTGAACACATAGACTGTATATATAAAGGTTGAACGTGATATTTGATTAGTTAGACAACTTGTTAATGCTGATGGGCAATTACTAAAATACAATGAATTCCTTTCTAAATGTCACCTACCGGTTACACCAACAGAATATGCAGTGGTTTCTGATGCTTTGCCAAGAAGTGTGCTGCAGCTTCTCAGATGTTCAGATACGGAGGTTTCAGTGGTTCATCTTTCTAGCAGTGTATTCCTTGGTGAAGTGGACATTACCAAGAACAAATGCTCCAACATATACATTAGGAACTGCATTCAAACTGTGCTCTGCCCAGAGGAAGATTCTTCTGGGCTTCACTTCATGGAGACATCAATAGGAAATGAATTTGGTTAATTGGAAATAAACGTTTGCTCAACAATAAAGTTCAGGAGGTTTCTTTTAAAATTGTAGACACAATATATCTAAAAAAGACACTGCAACGATTTGGACTTGATATTGAATATTCCTGTACATTTTGTAATCTACAAGAAGTAACTATTGGCCATTTATTTTATGAATGCTTGTATTGTAGAATATTGTGGTATGATGTTTTATTAGAAGAAAGACGGGACAAAAGGTTCAACTCCAGGACAGAGACATTCTGATGTGCTTCAGGGATGATAGTATGGATAAAGGTTTGGTCTTTTTGAGCAGTTAATTATATTTGTAGAGACATTTCATATCCATAAAATGAAATGGGCTGACTCCAAACCAAATTTTGTATATTTCTATCAAGAATTTAAATAATATATTAGCACTATTAAAAACATTAGGAATAAGAAGGCAATCAAAACTAACTTTCTCTTTCCTTTTTTCTTTATTTACTGTATGTAATGTCTTGTTGCTTTGTATGTCTGCCCCTGGACTTTGTCTGTTGTATGTAACATGTATGATGTTCATGTATAATATTGAATAGATGAATACACATTTTTTTGAAAAAGGGTTAACAGATGGATGCTAATTGTTAAGGTACACTCACACCGGATGCAATGTGAATCTTCGAGCGTCGCGATTACATGTAAAGTCAATGCAAAGACGCAGAACGTCGCAGTTTAGCGCCAGCGGCGCGACTGATGCTATTAACGCGACTTGCGTCATCCATGAGAGTTCAATTTTTTCATGTTCTGAGTCAAATTCGCCTGATGCTGTCTCGCGTTAGCCAATCAGCAGTAAGGATCTCAGTCTGACGTCACTGACGTTTAATAAGGAAACCAGAACATCAGCCGTTAGCTGTTAGCTGTTAGCTGTTAGCACACAGAGCTCACAGCTCACTATATCTATTCAGAAACTGGGGAAAGTTATAAATATACAAACCACAGACTGTCTGTGGCATGGAGACCACAGTCACTGCTTTATTTATGTCTGTGTGACGTTGTTGTGAGTTTGGACGGAGCAGCTACATGTTAGCTTAGCCTGATCTCCATGCAGAAAACATTTTAAAAGTGTTTCCTCAGCGTCTTGTCTGCACACTTGTCAAAGCATGAAAACATGTTTTTTTCTAACCAGCATCTGTATGTAGTTATTTGGGCATCATTTTTAAATGTGTATTACAATTAAATCACTGTAACATATGTTCATTTTGTTGTTGTTTGTATCTACCATAGTATTTACATATTTCACTTTTGTCCAAATGACTTGAAAATTCAGAACAACAAGAATCCAGCAGAACCTGGACCAGAACCTCTCCTTCAGTCGGGGTTTATGGTCCTGGTCTCATGCACAAAGGCCTCTTTGTTTCATCTTTTGTGTTTCCTCACTGTTCGGTTGGTTCTCCAGTGAAGTCTAGTCTACATTAGAGTCTGGACCTGAGTACTGACTGCTGGATGTAAGAGATACAGCAGCTTCTCCTACGGTCTGGAAACATGTCAGGCCACATATTAAAGTCTCACCAGAGGCCACATCAGAGAGAGAGGAGTCTCCATGCTGAAGTGGCTTCAGGGTTCAGGTCTCTACAGAGTGTTTGCTGACTTCAAGAGTCTTCTTCTGGAAGACTTTGTCTTTTTCTTCCCAAGTGTGTGAAGATGAAGATGACGCTTTAGCTGCCACAAAATGTCCAGTTCATAAGGATACCAGACTCCTGACAACTTATTATTCCTTCACATATTTTTCCACACCAACCGGTTGATTGTCTAATCAGTTCTAGTTTACATTGGAGTATCAACATGAGTACTATCAGTTTAATGTAACTAATACAGCTATGTATTATAAATGACTCCATGCTGCAGTGATTTCAGGGTTCAGGTCTCTACAGAGTGTTTGCTGACTCTTGATGTGATGCTGTCCATGTGTTCCATCAGATCCAGGACCTTTTATCATCCGAGCCGTCGTCCTGCCGCTGACTCTGCTGCTGGTAGTGACCGTCGGCCTTTACTTCTACTGCAAGGTACTGAAACATGTTGTTGTTCCACCACTGACTGAATGATAAGGTACTGAAACATGTTGTTGTTCCACTGACTGAATGATGAGGTACTGAAACATGTTGTTGTTCCACTGACTGAATAATAAGGTACTGAAACATGTTGTTGTTCCACTGACTGAATGATAAGGTACTGAAACATGTTGTTGTTCCACCACTGACTGAATGATGAGGGACTGAAACATGTTGTTGTTCCACTGACTGAATGATGAGGTACTGAAACATGTTGTTGTTCCACTGACTGAATGATGAGGTACTGAAATACGTTGTTGTTCCACCACTGACTGAATGATGAGGTACTGAAACATGTTGTTGTTCCACTGACTGAATGATAAGGTACTGAAACATGTTGTTGTTCCACCACTGACTGAATGATAAGGTACTGAAACATGTTGTTGTTCCACCACTGACTGAATGATAAGGTACTGAAACATGTTGTTGTTCCACCACTGACTGAATGATGAGGTACTGAAACATGTTGTTGTTCCACTGACTGAATGATAAGGTACTGAAACATGTTGTTGTTCCACTGACAGAATGATGAGGTACTGAAACGTGTTGTTGTTCCACCACTGACTGAATGATGAGGTACTGAAACATGTTGTTGTTCCACCACTGACTGAATGATGAGGTACTGAAACATGGTGTTGTTCTACCACTGACTGAATGATAAGGTACTGAAACATGTTGTTGTTCCACTGACTGAATGATGAGGTACTGAAACATGTTGTTGTTCCACTGACTGAATGATGAGGTACTGAAACATGTTGTTGTTCCACCACTGACTGAATGATGAGGTACTGAAACATGTTGTTGTTCCACCACTGACTGAATGATAAGGTACTGAAACATGTTGTTGTTCCACTGACTGAATGATGAGGGACTGAAACATGTTGTTGTTCCACTGACTGAATGATGAGGTACTGAAACATGTTGTTGTTCCACTGACTGAATGATGAGGGACTGAAACATGTTGTTGTTCCACCACTGACTGAATGATGAGGTACTGAAACTTGAAAATACCACACCATCAATATGTCTTTTCTGACTTCCTGTCAGCTCCAAGCCCATTGGTTCCTTCTGAAGACGTAGATCTTTAACGGCAACTCACACATTTGGTTGAATTTGAAAAGTCAAAGCAGTCGGTGCAGTTTGTCTGTCTCGTACGCACCAAACAGCTGCCGAGGATGAGATGCTACGAAAAGGCTGAGACGAAAACTATAGCAACAAGTTAGAGAGGAGAAATCAGAGAGAAGAGCTCGGATTTCTGATAAAAAGTCAGAATTCTAGGAAAAAGTCTGATTTATGAAAGAAAAGTCTAAATGATTAAGTCAGAATTCTAAGAAAAAGTCAAAATCATGAAAAAAGTCAGATTTCAGAACCAAAAAGTAAAAAAAAAAAAAAAAAAAAAGAGAATTCTAAGAAAGTCGGATTTCTGAAAAAAAGGAAGAAAATGTCAGATTTCTGATAAAAACTAGTTTTAAAAAGTCTGAATTCTAAGAAAAAGTCATATCTTTGGAAAAAAAGTTCAAAATTATGAAAACAATTTGTTTCCACCAAACAGCTGCCGAAGATGAGATGCAACCGCGGGCCGGCGGCTGAGATGAAAACTACAACAAGTTAGAGCGGAGAAATCAAATCAGAGAGAAGAGCTCGGATTTCTGAAAAAAAGTCAGGATTTTTGGAAAAAGTCAAAATTATGAAAAAAGTCGGAATTCTAAGAAAAAGTAAGAATTCTAAGAAAAAGACAAAATTATGAACAAAGTAAGAATTCTAGGAATCCACATCTTTCTAAGAAAGAGTCATTCTGAAAAAATAAAATATTATGAAAAAAGTCCGAATTCTAGGAAAAAGTCGGATTTCTGAAAAAAAATTCCAATTTCTGAAAAAAGTCAGATTTCTAGGAAAAAGTGAAAATGTTGAGAAAAAAATTCCGAATCCTGAAGAAAAATCTAAATTCGGAGAAAAAAAAACCTGAAATGAAAAAATATCACAGTTCTGAAAAAGTAGAGTTGCGGTTAAACTTGTGACAGAAAAATGCTTATTTTCTCCACCCGTTCACAGGGGAGATTACAATATGTTTCTAGTCTAGGGGAGGTGTGTTGCGCAGTGAATAGAGCCTTGGTGTTCGGATCAGGTTCAAACCCCACTGCAGTCAGCATGTCGTTGTGTCCCTGAGACACTTCACCCCAAAGTGCTCCTGTGGGGATTGTCCACAGTATTGAGTATGTAAGTCGCTTTGGATAAAAGCGTCTAACAAGTAACATGTCATGTAGTCAGTATTCGAGGAAAAGTCATATTTCTAAGAAAAAGTAATATCTCTAAGAAAAAGTCGTAGTTCGGAAAAAAAAGTACAAATGTCAACTTTATGAAAAAGGTCGGATTTCTAGGAAAAAGTCAACATTTTGAGAAACACATTCCGAATCCTGAAGAAAAGTCAAAATTCGGAAAAAACACCTGAAATCACAGTTCTGAAAAAGTCAAGAGTTCTGAACCGTATTCCGTACTTGCGGTGAAACTGGTCTCAGGGCACAGGGCTTCCATATTTTAAATTAAAGTTGGTTCTGAAGAGCTAACGGTAGAAAGTCTACAAGACCTTATGTAAAACTAAATGCAACAATATTTAATTAAATCATTCAGACAAACATCAGTTTTACTCAAACACTCTTTAATTTTGACATTAATCAATTCAAATACACAGTCGGCAGCAACGGCAAGAAACGTCTGAATTTACTCTTTAAGTTTGGCTTTTATTATTTCAGAAAAGTAAACACATTTACAAAAATAAACCTAGGAAAGAATCATAAATGTAATGTTTTCAGGACAGAGCACAGAGAGCCGTTCAACAGCTTTTAAATATGACTCAAACGGACATTTAAAGATGATAGGAAAGGAGCTAGGAAAGGAGCTAGGAAACTTCCTTTATAACCTCCTTTAGCTTAGGAAACACTGGACCTTCCTTAACGAAAGGAAAGGAGAACATGCTGCCCCACAATGCCTTGCAGCCGCAACATTTACCGTGACACAACATTCGGCCGTTCACGGAAACAACCGAGAAATAATATCATGAAAGTTTCGGTGCTTATTCAGCATTTTACAACTTATGTGGTAAACTCAGTAATACCTTTACCATCAATGTTTACGTGTCTGAAGCTAATATTTAGCATAGTCTTATTTATTATAGGGTCTTATTGAGCATAGGGTCTTATTGATAGGGTCTTATTGATAGGGTCTTATTGATCGGGTCTTATTTAGCATAGGGTCTTATTGATAGGGTCTTATTGATCGGGTCTTATTGATAGGGTCTTATTGAGCATAGGGTCTTATTGAGCATAGGGTCTTATTTAGCATAGGGTCTTATTTAGCATAGGGTCTTATTGAGCATCGGGTCTTATTGAGCATAGGGTCTTATTTAGCATAGGGTCTTATTGAGCATAGGGTCTTATTGAGCATAGGGTCTTATTGAGCATAGGGTCTTATTGATAGGGTCTTATTGAGCATAGGGTCTTATTTAGCATAGGGTCTTATTTAGCATAGGGTCTTATTTAGCATAGGGTCTTATTGAGCATAGGGTCTTATTTAGCATAGGGTCTTATTGAGCATAGGGTCTTATTGATAGGGTCTTATTGAGAATAGGGTCTTATTTAGCATAGGGTCTTATTGATAGGGTCTTATTGAGCATAGGGTCTTATTTAGCATAGGGTCTTATTTAGCATAGGGTCTTATTGATAGGGTCTTATTGAGAATAGGGTCTTATTTAGCATAGGGTCTTATTGAGCATAGGGTCTTATTGAGCATAGGGTCTTATTGATAGGGTCTTATTGAGCATAGGGTCTTATTGAGCATAGGGTCTTATTGATAGGGTCTTATTGAGCATAGGGTCTTATTGAGCATAGGGTCTTATTTAGCATAGGGTCTTATTTAGCATAGGGTCTTGTAACATAGACAACACTGGAGATCTGAGAGGAGGAGGAGGAGGAGGAGGAGGAGGAGGAGGAGGAGGAGGAGGAGGGAGAGGAGGAGGAGGAGGAGGAGGAGGAGGAGGGAGAGGAGGAGGGAGAGGAGGAGGAGGGGAATAAGGGAAATGTAAGAGATAAATAAAACGACATTACATTTTTCTTTCTGATTTGTTATTCTATAGATATTCATCTTTTTTCTGTATTCACTGTTAATGCTTTTAGTTTATTTTGAACTCAATGTCTTGTAAACAGGCTGCAATTACAGATCAATAGTGAATCTAATCTAATGACTAGCCTGTTCACAATGCAAGTCATTTTAACATCGATATTCCTCAGTCTGAACTCACGGGCAGTTTGAACGTCTGCGTAGATTCTCCGTTCTCATCGTAGGTGAAGGTCCCGAGCAGAGAGCCTTCCTCTGACTCCTCCCTCATGCCCTGGGAGACACAGATCAAATACAGAGGGTGACAAACTGATGTAAAGGTCTCTGTAGCTAGTGTACCAAAACAAACCAAAAAGCCTGATAAACAGTGCGTGGACATGGATTAAGTGACAGCTGTTTTTTGGCTGATATTTGCGGAGGAAATTATTCATGTTATATTTAATAAAGTAATAAAGAAAGTCAATATACAAGTGAAATCGAATGTAGGAACAGAGCAAATTCAACCTCAGAGGATAAAGAAGTTCTGCACCCAGAACACAGCTTACAGTCACCAGTGGCGAGCCCTCAGAGTGGCCCTAGAGGGCCCTGAGAGAGGGCCACTCTGAGGGCCTAAGATATTCTACAAAATAATAATATTAAAAACAATTTTTAATATATTCTTTTTGTTATATTTTTCATTAGTTTTACCAAAATAACTTGATTTAATTGTATTTAAAATAACATTTCCAAAGAAATAAATCCTTCGAATCTGCCTATTCAGTTTCAGTTTGAATGTGAAGGGTTAAATGAAAGAAGCGCGTCTCTGCGAGTTACTGTGAAGACAGGAGCTGATTGGTCCTGCTGTGAATTCACAGAGGGCCCGCTATAGTAACTCAACGAGAGAGTAATGTCAAATGACAGTACAATTGACCAATCATATCTTCCCTCTAAATGGGTGGGTTTTATTATCGCGGGCTTCATGACGAGTTCCGCTGCTGATATGTAAATCCTTAACATATGTCTCTGTTAAACACATACAAGACTAAACATACAATTTAACAGTGTAAAAAAAAAAGACAATAAGAGTATATGTTTGAAATGATTATTTGACACGACAATATTCTCTGGGGTGACTCACGTAGACCTGGAGGTCTCGGGGGGCGGAGTCGATGCGTCCGGTGGGAGAGTTGTATCGGGGGATGTGGTCGAGGGTCACGTGACTCACGGTGATGGGGTGAGAGAGGGAGATCAGGAGCGTGCCCTGCGCACCGTGAAACGGCCAACATTGACCCGCCAACAGCACCGGGGAACCCTGGGAGAAACGAGGAGAGGAGGGTTTTATCTTACTGAGAAGAAAGGTTAGTGGAGGTCAATGTGAGAAAGGTTAGAGGAGGTCAATGTGAGAAAGTATTAGAGGAGGTAAATGTGAGATACCTGGATGACGATGCTTGGGCTCTCTGATGGATACCAGCGAGGGAAACCAAACCGACGGAAACCAAACAGAGGGAAACCGGCTGAGCTGTAATACGTCTCAGAACACCTGGTGCTGATCACACGTGCTCCTACACACACACACACACACACACACACACACACACACACACACACACACACACACACACACACACACACACACACACACACACACACACACACACACACACACACACACACACACACACACACACACACACACACACACACACACACACACACACACACACACACACACACACACACACACAGATTTGTTAGCTGTGATTGTTGCCTGAATTGTAAGAAGCTCTCAGAGATAATTAAAGTGGACCTATCATGCTATATTTGAATAATATATTGTAGGGCCATACCTATATAAGGCATATTTATACGTTTTCTTTTTCAAAATACCAAACAGATCATGCATTTTAGCCATGCCTCATTTCGCTCTATTTTGCTCTCCTCCAGCCTGTCTTTGCATTCGCTGCAGCTGACCACGCCCCCCTGCAAAGGAGGGGGCCGAGTTACGAGCGTCATGTTACCATGCTGTTACCATGCTGTTAACATGCTGTTACCATGCTGTTACCATGCTGTTACCATGCTGTTACCATGCTGTTACCATGCCACGGCAACCTCTCATTCCCCTGATAGGTGGAGAGTTGGCCATATAGGCGGAGCTCCTCGTCACTGATGTCAGACTATTTTCAAATCTGGATCAGTTTTTATCAGATCCGTTGCAGCCCCGTTTTTAGAGATTTTGGGTATGGAGGAAAAGAGAGAGGGTTGTGTTTTCTGACACTTGGTGAGTTCCCTGGAACACCGGGGACACATATTCATGTATACAAGACGTACAAAGGTGCATTTTGCATGATAGGTCCCCTTTAAGTTTTATAATAAAACAAAGTTGTCTGATGTCTCTGACCATGAGTCTCCAGAGCGAAGTCGGCCATTTTGTCTGCGTCGGGTCGTCCACAGTCTGAGCAGCTTCCTGTGAGGCGGAGCGACGCCTGGTCCTGAGTCACAGTAAATACCGTTAATATGTGCAGACAAAGGCAGAGCATTTACTTGGAAATAATGGCTTCTTTTCCTTGTTTTCGTCTTTTCTTTGTATACATTTCTTGAATATAAACACTAGATAGTTTTGAAAATGCCTCTTCCTCCTCCCACCTTGATGCGGCCGCTGAGCCACTTCTCCAGGGCCTGCACCTACACCTACACACACACACACACACACACACACACAAAGTGGCTTAGATAGAAAGCGAGGAAGGAAGCCACACACTTAATAATGTTGAGATACAAAAAGACTCCCATGTTCGTGTAAACAACCCCAAAATAAGTAGTTCATGATGTTTTAATCATTTCCAGAGGGTCTGTGATTTACCAGGAGACGTTGCATCTTCGCCTCGACAGCAGCCGACACTACAGCTGGATCCTAGAGGAGGAAAAGACCAATATATATGCTCCTTTAAAATGTATTACAGCAACTTAACTCACTTTATAAAGCTGGTACTTACTTATTTCTACTGTAGATGCGTACTTATATTATTTAATCTTGCTTCTTTTTGTTTAAAATGTTAGTCAACTTGTTGTTTACTCTGTCTTTTATCTGCACTGTGTCTTTGCCGTGTCTAAATAGGAGGAATAAAGTATTTCTGACTCACCAGAAGACGTTGAATCTTTTCTTCCACGGCAGCCGAGACCACAGATGGATCCTAGAGAATAAAAGCACATCAAGGCAATATTCTTCACATACATATGTTTTTCTTATTCATTGTAATGGTCAGAATGTGTGTTTTTTATACCAGAAGATGCTGTATCCTCTCCTCCACAGCCGCGGACACGAGGGCTGGATCCTAAAGGAATACAAAAAAAAATGCTTTAAATGAAACTGTCGAAGAAACCGAGCGCTTCTTACCCATAAACGTTACTAAAGCTTTGGTTAAAAGTTACATTAAGTGCATTTAATCATGAATATCAAACCTCAGAGCAAGAATCAAACGTTAGCTTCAAGTTAGCCACACCTTTCAAAATGCTACATACAGCAACCCGCAAATAAATACATGTTTGTCATCAGGAAATAGATCAAAGCAACATTTGGGTTATTTAGTTTGAACACTGGCTTCTTGTCATCGGTTAAGTTTTCAGCTTGATCTTCCACTCAAATACACACACACACACACACACACACACACACACACACACACACACACACACACACACACACACACACACACACACACACACACACACACACACACACACACACACACACACACACACACACACACACACACACACAATATTGTTACGCAATAATTTTTTTTTAAATATCATGGTCTATTTTTTACTTCTCTACTATGACAGCTGGGTACAGTCACTCACCTGAGGGTATTCACCTGTTTTTAACATATATAGATATTTAAATGATTGTATTTGATTTGTTTTTAATCTCTACCCTGTATAGCCATTTATTGCGTTCATGACGTAGCGCTTCATGCTACGCATTTTACCCTAACCCGGACAGCGCAAAATGCGTACATGAAGCGCTACGTCATGAACGCAATAAATCATACCCTCGTGGGGGCGCGCTCATGTGATTGGCTTAGAATGGAGGAGACATCTGATTGGCTATAGATAGAAAAAATTACAAGTACGAATCGGGTTACCGTCAGGGGAGTCTCAAAAAACCCACACACGAATGCACAGCGATCCATGCACAGAGAGCGGGTTGTGTTTGCCGGTGCAGCGGTTTTAAACGGAAAACAAATGTGTGTATCAAAAATACATATGTAAAACTTTTTTCTGTATTTAGATTTTATTTACATGAATATGAAACGGAACACATTTGTGTGAGCATTGAAAAACACAAGTGTGGAACCGGAAATACAAGTGTGAATCCTTCTGTGTGCATGTGTGAATTATGAGACTGTTCTGAGCCCATAGTCCTGTTTCCAATTGCTTCAGAAGTTTCCCCCACAATAACAATTGTTAATATTTAGTTTGTATAGTGTTCCCTACACGCACATGCCATTCACATAGGCATTTAACAAATAATCATAGAAGAAAAAAAGTTCTCACCCATCAGACTGTAGAAGGCGCCTCTGATCTTTCCCCAGTATCCAGCACTGGGACCCTTACTGGTGTTCCTGGTGTTACTGGGGGTCTTCCAGAGGAGAAAGAACAGACCTGCACAATGTTGCTATTATTTGATATATATGCTTTATAGAGGTGCCTTTTTTTATTTATGATAACCTGATATAGGATGGTTTGATTGTTATGCAATTAAAAATACAAATATAAAAATAGTTTCAGAAGTTCATATTGTCCAATAGAGAGCACATGGTAAACACCAACTGAATGTAATCTGGTAACAAAAGATGTTCAGGTATATATCAGTATAGTGTCTCTACTTTAAAGAGTCCTCTCCTGCTGATGTTCAGGTGTATATCATTTATTACATGGTTTAGTTGAATACTCGATTCTGATTGGTCAATTCAGAACACGTGACACGTTGTTAATCCAGAACAGACAGACCGCTGTCAAGGATTTATTGACCGTTGTTAAGGACGCTCACATCTGCACAAACAAGTCCGTTCGATTTAACTGTATACAGTTTGGCCGAAAAGCAAACTGTATACAGTTTGCTTTTCTAACTGACAAGACAAGAGCGACAAGAAAACAGCGGAGAAGTAACGGGGCAGAAACCCTCCTTTTTACGCAGCGGTCCAGACATAGACATCAAACGGCGACACATATTCAGTGTGCAGTTCCTTTGGCATTAGGGCAGGGATATCTAGATACTTTCCAAGGTTTGACATAATGAATTGTGCTACTTTTAAAGCAAGCAACAATGTTTTCAAATCTAATCAAAAAGCTCCGCCTTCCTGCCGTTGCTACGTTTTTCAAACGGTAACAACGGACTATTTTCCTTAGCGGATGCATGTCAATTTAAATCAATACAACTATTTTTTAAATCAATTAAATCATTTTCTAAATCCATAAAAGCATTTCAATTAATATTGGGAGTCATATCATTACTTTGTTGAGAATGTGGCCATGTAATAAGCGGGATAATGTGCACATTATCCCTTACTAAATACATGTAGTGGAGGAAAAGTACACCATTTACCTCTGAACTGTAGTGGACGAGAGAGGTACACAGTAACACAAAAACTGAAATGCTCAAGTAAAGTACAAGTACCTCAAAATTGTACTTCAGTACATGTTTACTTAGTTACTTTACACATCTGGCTAATTGTGAATGTGGCTAACTTTATTAGCTTAGCATACTTAGCTACAGAAACCGTTAAAACCTGGGTAAAACAGAGTCCATTCTCTTCGGTTCGAAACATAATCTCAGCAAATCCGACGACTTCTCAGTTGCAGTGGGTGACATTATTGTCACAAGTAAGAAGGAAATTACATACCTAGGATCTATTCTTGAGGCAAACCTCTCCTGTGACAAAATGGCATCCAATGTAATAAAAAAAGTCAATCAAAGAACTAGATTCCTATACCGGATCTCCTCTCTGGTAAACAAAAACACCCTGAAAACTCTGGCAGGAGCACTCATTCAAGGGTACTATGACTATGCTTGCACGTCATGGTACCATAGCACCTCCAAGGCGCTAAAAATAAAACTTCAAACATCGCAAAATAAACTGGTCAGACTACTGCTTGACCTTTCATCTAGAACCCACCTCACCTCTGCCCACTTTGACAACCTAGGATGGCTTAGAGTAGACGACAGAGTACAGCTACTTGCAATGGGCCTGGTCTACAAGATCCACTACACCTCTATGGTACCCATGTACATGTCAAAATTCTTCCCAAAGGTCAAGGAATACCATGATCATAACACCAGAGGGAGCTCCACAAATCATGTAAAACCCAGATTTGGCACAAAAAAAGGGGAATACACGTTTCGCAATTATGCCACATCAAGGTGGAACGCTCTTCCCACAACTGTAAAGGAAAGTAAAACTATACTTACCTTCAAAACCTCTCTTAAAGAGCACCTTCGGGGGAAAGCATTGCAAAACTGGCCCCGGTAATGGTACAAATCTCAACCTGTCGTACAATGGACAGCTTCCCCCCCCCATCTATGTATATACTCGCATTTTAGACTCTGTTACTAACTGTATATCTGTAGACTTGGTATGTCTTAAATGTCCGGTTAGGATGTATTAGAACGAAATCTAAAATGAAAATTGTAAATAAGCCATCTGTATGTAAAAAACCACCTGTATGTAAATTGTAAATAAGCCATCTGTATGTCAAATATGTCTTATATGTCTTAAATGATATGATGAATTGGAAATGGGGGACCCTGATGTAAACAAGACGAAAGTCTTTCTCTGGTCTGCATCCCCTTAACAATTGTATGTTTTGAGCTGTACTGTACTGTACCCAATATACAAGCTGTTAATAAACTTTTCAATCAATCAATTCAATCAATCAATATCCATCACAACAGCAGGTTGTTAACTGACAAAAGCATCACGTAAAACCCACATTAAAACTAGATATTTACACGTAAAAAGCACAGTGAACACGTGTAAACATTAGACCTATGATAAACTACTGTGTAATCTACTTACCTCTGTGTTCTAAAAAAAAGTCAGTTTAAAAGCAGCTTAATTCTTCAAAGGGAAACAGACGGAGCTCACTGACAGCTAGTGGTGGTTCATCTAATGCTGTTTCAGGAGCTGCTGTTCAGACTGCGGACACACAGTGGAGCCAGCGGACTGCAGTAAGTCCTCTAAATACCTGTTATCAACACTGAAGACAAGCTCTTAGGCTACACTACCGACAGAGAATCAGTTATTTAGAAGCAAACTAAACCAGAATACCTTTATAAGATAAGATAAGAGCTACTTTATTGATCCCAATTTGGGACATTTTTGCATTGCAGCAGCATACAAAAAAGTAAAATTGAGAAGTTACCACACACACACACACACACATATACACACACACACACACACACACACACACACACACACACACACACACACACAACTTGAAAATACCACACCATCAATATGTCTTTTCTGACTTCCTGTCAGCTCCAAGCCCATTGGTTCCTTCTGAAGACGTAGATCTTTAACAACAACTCACACATTTGGTTGAATTTGAAAAGTCAAAGCAGTCGGTGCAGTTTGAAACCAAAGACACAGCAACCCCGGCTGAATAATGTTATATATTTAATAAAACTAGTCAAATATCCTCTGAAACCTGCATTGCAATACCTGATGCCAATGAGTCCAGAGAGAACAGGAGAAAGGTGTTACAGCGCCACCTGCTGGTGGAGTTGAGCACATCGAGAGTTGGTGTTTTTTATTTCTTTTTTTATTTCAACAAGCATTCAAAGCTCAGTTTTATAAAATGGTGTGAGAAGTTTAGCCAGAAATGTTGCTGAACATTATTATAATACAAATTAAAAACAAAACGCTTTTCGTGTTTAAAGATTTCAGAAGTATTTTGACATTTTTGTAATTAACAAATGTTTTTTTATTTCATAAGAAGTTTTGCTTTGAAGTAATTTGTTTTAATTGATTTTAATTTGTTAAAATAAATGTTTTTTATATTAAATGAAGTCCTATTTGCTGAGCTTAGTTTTGTAATCAAGATTTGCGCTTATTATATATCATTAAGGATTTGCTTTAATTGAGTTGTAAATCATTTTGATATTATGTGGTTGTGATTGTTTGTGGGGGCTTTTTAAGAATTCTGCCCATTTTTCTATTTTGCCCTTTTCCTTAAATCCATAAGACTTTTGCCTGATTTAGTCATTAAAACCTCCTCCTAACTTACAAGTATTTTGCCCCGTGTGGTAATCAGCAAGAAGTTTAATTAGTGTTGTAAATAAAAAAAGATTCCTATTTTCCAAGTATTGAGATTGTGTTGTAATCAGGAATTGTGTTTATTACATAAAAGTTCATTGATTTCATTTATTAAGAATTGTGCTTCATTTTGTGAAGAAATATTTAGTTTTTTGTCTTTTTAGTAAATGGCCGTTCCTATGATCCGTTTGCTTAATGTTGTATCACACGTCGTCTACTATGTGACCAAAAAAACAATAAAACTACTTTAATAATCCAGAAAGCTCTGTGGATATTTATTCATGGTTTTCTTCTTGTTGGAATGTTTTCTTTAAACTTTCTTTGAATTTGCCATATAATATATCATATCAGATATAATTACTCTGCATGACCCCCAATATCATATTATGTATTTATTGTTACAACCCAGACACAAAATGATTTTAGTACTGGGTCTAACCTGCTAATCTTTGGTTGTATTTATGGTAAATAATATAGTCAAATAATTACTCTGCATGACCCCCCCTGTTTGTTCAGAGAGGAGACTGAACTGCATACATTTATATCATATTTACCTACCTACCTACCTACCTACCTACCTACCTACCTACCTACCTACCTACCTACCTACCTACCTACCTACCTACCTACCTACCTACCTACCTACCTACCTACCTACCTAAACATTTACAATCAAACAGTTTATTAACTCTCAGATTAAAGGTAGGGTAGGTACATTTGAGAAACCGGCTTGAGATCGCTAGAATTTGAAAATACACAACCGGAGAAAATCTGCCACTTCCTCACAGAGCCCCTCCTCCAACACACACGAACGCGCACATGACCAATGAGGGCACGAGATAAGTTTGTGCACAGATGGAAGGCTGACAGGCAGGTAGGCCATCCAGTTATTTTAGCCGGGCCGGCTCAGATGATTGGTCGTGCTTTTTACAGTACCACAGCTTCCACAGATGATATTTATTTATGGATTTGTTGTCAAAGCACTTCAGATATTCATTGCTATCAGGATGTTAAGAGCATTCCATGGAATATAACAACAAGTGTATCTCGAGCCGGTTTCTCAAACTTACCTACCCCACCTTTAAACTACTTGTTTCAGATCCAGTACAAACGATATCTTTTCGATCAGCTGTTTTTTATTTGTTTTTTTACAAAAGAAGTTTAAATAAAAATCCTCCCACAGGTGAAGCTTCCAGACGCTTCCTTCAAACGGTCCTCTCGGGATCCAGCTGTGTGTGTGTGTGTGTGTGTGTGTGTGTGTGTGTGTGTGTGTGTGCGTGTGAGTGTGTGTGTGTGTGTGTGTGTGTGTGTGTGTGTGTGTGTGTGTGTGTGTGTGTGTGT